AAGAACCCCCGTACACAGCCGCAAGATCAATCAAGGCTCCTTGAGTAGCGCACTCGACGACTTTGCACGAGACTAAACAAACAATAAGTTTCAGATTGAAATGACAAGACAATTGAGTGGGAAAAATGGAGAAATACAAAAAAGAGATAGGCAAAAGTTTAAAAAATGTTAAATTTGCTTGGAAACCCGGTTTCTTGTCAACAAAGGGACCAACTTCATTCTCCTGAGTACATGAAACAAAGTGAAACCAATCATACAATTAATCTGCGTTCATTTATCCACGTATAGGTCTTACGAGCTAACAAGCTCGTTCAAAATACGAACGTGCTAACATACCATTTACTTCCAAATATGGCCATCCTCTTTTTTCCTAATATTGGGTCGGTACAATAAGTCTCGGAATAGGAGGCCCTGGTACCCTGGGACTCCCCTGGGACGACATTAAAAGTTAACTTTCACATAATTTAGATTAACAAAATGTACAATTTGCTGTAAAAAATGTTCCTGTTTTTTCTCTATGCTGTTACTATGATCATTTTTCAGACAGATTAAAAGAATTATTCAAATTGAAAAATGACGTACTTAAATCATTTTCATTTTTTTGAAAATGCCGAAAACTTGGGTCGGTCGGACGACGCTAAACGGAGAAAAAAAAAAAGACGACGGCCTAATGAAATAGATTGCTTTGCCGTGGCTAATACTTATATACAAGATTGAAAAGGGAATTAATTAACAATTAATGAATGCGGCTGAGTATCTTATGAAGAATTATGGAGATCGAGGGTGTTATCCGTCGAAACGTAGGCCGAGGCGGATAACTCTACCCTCCGAGATCTCCATAATTCTTCACATGATACGAAAGCCGAATTCAATATTTTTTTTATTATTCATTCAAAATAATTCCTAGTTTAAAAACCAAGCTAAAACATGCTTACCTTCATCGATGTTAATTTTATTTTCGGTAGTGTACGTTTAGGGTTGTTCAGCTCCGCAAATACTCTCCAAATAGCAGATGTCGCCCTTCGAGTTGTGTTCTTGTCATGTTTTTAGCTATAATTTCGCCTAGTTGTTACACTTGAAAAAAGTGAAATGTCCGCCATTTTTTGTTCTCACAGTCAAAACAACTCAAACTCGTCCCCAGGTCTTCTCGGTTAACGGTGCATTAACCTGCAAGAACGCTGCATTTTTGACGTCATTTCCTCGTTAACCACAAAATTCTTCCAAATTTGGTCATCAGTAACTGGTTATGATGAATTATGCGTGTGCTTCTAGCCAATCAGAATCGGGGAAATATTTTGAATGAATAATAAGACGCTTTATTCCTGAGTTTGCGATTAGCTTGGATAGATTTTCCTTTCTTAGGTCTGGTTCAAGTGAATTCCAGGTTTTAGCAACTTGGTCACAGTGAAAGAGTTCTTCATCCAGTTGAGGTTAAACCTTGGCACGCTAAGATTAACACCACTACTTGTAAAAAACTTAAAAAGGTTTGAGTATACCTGGGTACCCCTAGGAAAAAGCGCGTGTGTAATAGCATAGATACATTTTTAATTACAATGAACACACTGCATGCTTTATATTTATATCAATGAAGGTCCTATGAAAATCGCAATGGTGATCTGCACGAGTAAACAACGCCGCACAAAAATGGGTCAAACAACTGAACTGAAAGCGGAGCGGTAATCTCTGATTTGCTGGATTTACCACGAGCAGAAGCTACAAAATTTTCTAAGCGCCTGTTAACGATGTTCGACATTTATGCGCACACTTTAACCAAACAGAAGGTTTATCTGGGGTCAATTTAATAAAACTTTTACAAGTGAATTTATAAGTGTAGCCATTGTTTCAGGGTCCGAATACAATAGCTACACTAGTAAATTACACTTGTTAGAGTTTTATTGAATTGACCCCTGGTTGCTCAAACACAGCGTCTCACAACCTCGTTCCCAGGTTCTCTCTTCTACCCGTCTTTCCTTCGCTCCGTAGGACGGGTAGGAGAGAACTCTGGGAACGAGGTTGGGCGTCTCAGACAGTACTTTTTGACTCCCGATCCCCTACTTCTGTCTGATAGTTCGTAACCGCAACTGAAGAAAATAACAAATCTTTTTTCGTTGTTAAAACATATATGTTGTTCAATATAAAGCGATGAATTACTACCACAAAAACTAAAGTAAGGATATTTTCTATTTATATCAGGTATATTTTCTATTAAGTACTTTAATAAACATGCATGCACAGTCAATTAAAAGGTAATACTACAAAATATTACGATAATAAATCTGATAGTTCGTTTCAAAAAAGTATTCTCTCTTAAAACATATTCTAGAAATTAACGCTGTCTAAAAGAAGAGGAGTAAAACAATAGATCCTCCATTCAGGACAACTTAACATGTTTAATGAAACCATAGTTACGAAAACTGGAACACAGGCATTTACACAACAGATTCAAATTTACTTTCACATGCTCTGTAGACAATGTAAAAGCCGGTATATTAAGCAGTTATTACGAAGAAAACAAATTAAATTCATATTCTAAACAGCTTTTAAAACATGTTTAAGCTTTGGTGTGAATGGGGAATGACTATGGCTCATTTACACTAAACCAGGGACTTAGAACGGACACTTCGATCATAAGAAACCGTTCATTTTTTTCACCCCTTTTTCCCACAGAACGTTGAACGGCTAGTCGTCTAAATTCCCGTACAGATAAGGTGGTTCCATGTGAACGGAACACCTAAACGGAAAAATTTTCAGACCGTCGAAAATTCTTCCCGAGCCGAGGAAAGACGTTTTTGAGCGACGCACGTCAACCGGAAGTGGACCTTTTTCATTCTTGGGCAGCGGTTTTGCCCAGATTTTTGGCCAAATCGTCTCCACAAGAATAAAGACTCTTAATACCCGGCAATTCAAATCTGGTAGCCTCAAAGCTTATTATAAGGGAAAAGGCTTCACTTCCACTTGACGGGCCGTCGCTCAAAAACGCCTCTTTTAAAGCTCCCTTTTTTATATCACGCAAGCTTGAGGAAGTCATAATGGTGCAAATGACTTTACTAGTAATTTACCAAATACAAAAAGGATTAACGAGGAAACTACATATTTACAAATCAAAAATACTGTCTTTCAGTGCATGATTATTTCTTGTTCGCAACGTCTCTTAAGATAAGAAAATGGTTGCAGCACTATTGTCAATGTACAAATAAACAAAACAAATACAGGTTAGGACACATGAACTCAATTTCAAGGGAGCGTTTCTCATAGTAAAGAGGACAGGAATCAGCTTAGTTTTTTCCGTCCGCGGTGAAGCACTAACATCATTGCTCTTCCCTGTTTATATTCGTTTCTATAATTGGAGAAAAAAGACAACAGATAACAATTACCACATAAGTTACGAGTATACCGTATTTACTCGAATAGACGCCGCGGCGTTTATTTCATTTTTCGCGATCCAGCTGCGGCGTTTATTCGAGGGCGGCGTCTATTCGGGGGCAGCGTTTATTCCAAAATCACTTTATTCAGGACTAAATATCGTACTACATATGCTAACTTTTTTACTAGGCAACAGTAACAAATCGCTGCATTAACAGCAGAATTACGCGTTGCAAAACTTCTTGAAAGAGAACTTAACACAAGAGCAAAAAAGTACAGTCACTTTGAACTAAAAAATGTTGTTCTAAAAGAAAATAAATTTCCATTGCTGGTTTAAACTTGAAATAGACTTTTCTTTAATAATTATTATAAATCATTATTCCCTCAAATAAACGCCGCACCGTAGACGCGGCGTCTATTCGGGGGCGGCGTCTATTAATATTTTGAGTCTCAAGTGCGGCGTCTATTTGAGGGCGGCGTCTATTCGAGTAAATACGGTACTTCTACTGAAGACCGCAGTGCTGCCGATGCAGCTGATGCAATATCTATATGGTGGAATTGCTCTCAGTCATATCTTCACAGCCTAAATCATATACACGAACGTGCGTGTCGTATGATTAATCACCTACCTTCTACTATAGGAGATGACTTATACCTTTTCCGACTTAAGTGGCTTCCTATTGATTATGTATAAAAGACGCATCCTACTGAAAATGTTCCATTCCTTTGTGGGATCTGCCCCTAGTCAAATCTAAGAGCTATTTTCTAAACCATCTAGCCCATCAAGATTTAGTAACCAATATAATATCATTATAAAAAATACTGAAGTTGGTAGAGGTTCTTTTCAATATAGAGTTCCGGTGATTTGGAATTTTATCAATAAGAAGGTTAAGTTTAGCAACATTAGTAAAGACGCTTTTAAAACTATAAGCAATCAAAAGATTTACTTCAATTCTCTTTTGATAAGGAAGCAATAATGATTTTCAATAAGAAGGATGGTTTTGTTTATTTTTAGCATTTATTTTAACCTCTCTTGAAACTCTTATTCATAAATCTTAGGATAATAATTTTATTTATTTTAATTTTTAATGGGGCTGCCCTCATGCAGACTAAACCTGCATTATCAAATAAACGATCGATCGATTGATTGATTGATGCAATTAACAAATAGTTTCTCATACGATTTTTAAAAGTGATAGCACATACAATATATGCCTCTTCTATACCATATTCCAAATCAAAACTAGAATTTACAAACTTTTGTGTATGAGGAAAGGGGAGAACCGAGGTACCTTGGAGCAAGAACGAAAACCAACCCAAAAAACCCCAACAGAACCCGCAAATGGCGTCGTCTCTGCGACTGGACTAAAACCCGAACCACACATTAGTGGGGGAGAGTGCTCTGTCTCGAGACAACAGACAAGAAATTTTAGAAGTCCTCAACATGACCTTACGCATACTTATGGCGAGTAACAATCACAGTGGTCAGCTGAGTGGTGTAAAAGAGAGCTGTGGCGTTTCACTATTGAACATTTATTCATTTAATTGGACGTAGCTTTTTAAAATCAGCAAAATATAGGAGTGTCACGCGGTAGACGTTCTCTATGTCCGGCTTCTCGATGATTGTTGTCAAACAATCACTTTGATTTAACGTATCCCCGATTGGTGGAGCACTCCTGCTCTGCTAGAAAAGTTTGAGTCATAAAAACAGTTGTTTTTATCCAAAAAGCGTCACGACTGCCAAACAAGCCACATGGAAAACGAGTCTACAATTCCTACGTTTCGACTATCAGCGGACTGGCTGAAACCTTTGGTTATGACTTAAATGGCTGCCCACGTAAGATCACACATTTTCGATTTGTATGTGGTAGCAAAAATTTACTAGGTCTACAACTTGGCAACTGACCGCCAGTTCAAAACCTTTACTTGTTAACATTTGTAATCTAGCGGAATGAACTCGAGGTGTATAGGTCTCACTTCGCGTGAAATTGCTTTGAAAGCAATCTGAAAGGCCACGGACGTACATGCCCGGTGACGGAGAGGTGAACTGCCTTAGAGGCGGTAACCTCAAATTGAATTCCCTATTTTTGAATCCCCGATAATACACTCGGCTTACCCCCTAAATTCAAATGCTCGTTGGAGGACTACATATTCCCAAGTGCTTTTAATCTTTAATCACAGTTCGTAACCATACATAACTGATACAAATGAACTAATACTAACATATACAATCGAACAAAAATACAAAAACGGTTAACAGGACGGTAGTAGGGGGAAACCAAATTCCCATGCTAAGACATACCTTCCAAAAAAGAAAAAAGAAAAAAAACAATAACTTGTGGAAAACAGAGCGTACTATGGAAAACAGAGTGTACTACGGAGATTCGAAAATACTTAATAGCTTTCTTTTAGGACGACTATAATACCCAAAAGACACTGAAAACAACCCTTTTGCGCAATTTTGGGGCGAAAACAAGGAGTATTATGGGTAACTATTGTAATTACTCAGTTGGATGCGTACCTTTCCTGGCTTCCCTTTCTTTTTCTTAGCCTTCTTTTTTAGGCCTGATCCTAGCTTGATAATGGCAGCAAACGTTGTTGAATTCATGCGATGAGTCACATTGACCTTTAAATTATTAAGTCCGGCTGGTAATAAAAAGGAAAGGGGAAAAAGTAAAAACAAAACAAAAACATTAACGGTAAAATCAAACAGCAAACTCTTGGACACGTGGTACAAAAACGCTATGCTGGGGAGCAGCAAAAGCAGTGGGGCAAGAAGAACAGTCTATGTACATCATTCAAAATAGTACTTTCCCTTGGCTTGTCCAGATGCATTGCTCTTCTGAACCTTCTGAACAGAATAGCCTGAGTATCAGGTCTTCCTGAGAGATTAGGGAAGATGCGTGAAGGGCCCGAATTAGTCACGCAAAACAGCTTGCAACGATGTGAATGGATGGTCTTTGTAACCTTCTCAAAGGAGTAACTTAGGTTTTCGTATGCCCCAAAATATGTGAATAGAAGAAATGTTGTCAAGCTACTTATCCACGTGTCTATCACAAAATAGAAGATAACCGACCTTCCTTTCTGTCCATCAGCGCTTCAAGAACCTCTCTTCCTCCCAGGTCACCTATCAGATTATCATCTAAATCGAGTTCTTGTAAGGTCTCTGAGTGTGTTATCAATCTAAAGAATTGTCAAAAGAATGACGTGTTGATAAAACAAAGTTAATTCCTATGTAAAAAACATTCGTAATTTTCTTCGAAAAAATACTTGGCATATGAAGATGAGCAACTAACTTTCTGAACATTTTCATGCACATAACAGGTCCCAAGGTGGACCCCACTCCTTGCGCATCAATACCATTGTCTAACAAGTGAAGTTTCTGGATCCATGGGCCAACTGGTGGAGGAGGTGGAGGTTCTTTTTTCTTGCCACTTTTCTTCCTTTTCCCTTTCTTTCCTTTCTTTCCAACGGAGGACAAACGAGATCTTGCGCTGTTAAAAGTAATGATGAATGGAGAAAATCAGCATCGACCAAAAAAAGCGCATTAAAATGAATGTGTAAAATAAGTTGTTGACATAATATATTGGTAACAGCGGAGCTCTGGCGCGCGAAGCGCGCCTGCGGAGCACCCTGGGTAAGTAAATCTACCCATCCCAGAAAATTTGGTAATCACGTGACCGTACACCGCCCGCCCGCCCGTCTGTTCGCACCACAGGGCAACCAGCGTTTAATCCTCACACTTTCTAGCCATATTTCTATTGCACATCAATGTTGTGATCAATTGACAGCTGTCAAAAAGGGGATCCGCTGACCAGTATCACCTGACCGTATCGCGTGCTCAGGTGTCGACCCATCGAGGTCGAATATCTTTTTGCAGTTATCCGCTGACAAGTTACTAGTTTTCAAATGATCGCAGGCTCAAGTTTATTTTTTTAAATTCATATGAAATCTGTTGTGTTTTGTATGTGCCGCACAATCAAAATGTTGATTTCAAACTGACCTCGGAAGCTAAAATTCAGCCAGTTTTTACAGGCAGGGAAGACATGCCAGTTGCTTTTGACTTTTCTATCCAAGGTCACGCGTTGGTCACGCTCTACGTCCAATGTTTATTCTCTGATTGGTCAAAATTTGACA